AAAAAAAAAAAAAAAAGAAAGAAAGAAAAGAAAAAATATATATGTAGCTAAAAAGCCTAACTCCCAGGCGGCGCCTGTGGCTCAAAGGAGTAGGGCACCGGCTGGAGGTGGAGCGTTCAAACCCAGCCCCAGCCAAAAACTGCCCAAAAAGAAAAAAACCTAACTCCCTCAGTGACCGGCTCCTTTAGGTAAATTTGAACCCCAGAGGAGTGGCTAGGCCCAGGGCAGCATAGACAGTCTCCCCCTACTCCTTCCCTGTGGGCCAGATGCAAAGAATCTGAAGGCCTGACTGGGAAGGGGTACAGGAATCCCCTCAAATACTCTTCCTAAAAAGCCAGAGGCTACAATTAACCTTTTCTCCAGGTCTCATCAGGGGCATGGGTAGAGCTGGGCTCTGCAAATCAAGGTCGAGGTCATCCTGGGCTCTTAGGACACAAGGGGCAGAGCAGGGCTCACCTGCAGAGGGGGCGGGCTATATAAGATGCTGCCCCCTGGTGGGGGTTGATGCTGAGGGTACTCCCCATCCATGGTGGGCCCCACTGCAAGCATCAGCTGGCGGGCAGTGGGGCTCTAAAACCCAAGGCCGCCAGCAAGTCTATCTGGGCTTCTCGCTCCGTGGTGGTGGCAGTGGTGGCAACATCATGTCCTGCAGAGAGAGATGTAGATGCCTGAGACGGTGATCTGACCTTGACCCTACACCTGAACAGCACCCTTACAGCCCCTATGTTGTTCCCGGCACCTCCTCCAGCCAACTGTGCGCCCCAGGTTTGTGCCTGGCCAGTTTGACGCTGCAGAGAGTTTACCCTAGGCCAGCGGTTCTCAACCTGTGGATTGCAACCCACAGGAACCTTATTAAAGGGCATGGCATTAGGAAGGTTGAGAACCACTACCCTAGGCCATCATCTCTGGGGTAGGAGCACCCACTGATACCCCAGAACCACCCTGCTCTCAGCAACACTGCAAGGCAGTGCCAGAAGGTCCCCAAGGGTGTCAGGGTTGAGCTGACCAGGGAAGAACCCCAGACCTCATTTGGAGCTAAGGAAGCACTAACATCCCCACTGAGAATGTTCCCATTCTGGACACTAGAAGACAACTTCCACAGGGCTCTGGCCTTAGCAGTTAGCCAAGAGCCCTCTGAATGCCCCCTGGGCTTCCAACACCCCTGGGCCCCAGGCAGGCCTGTGGCAGGGGGACGCTCAGCAGGCAGGCAGCCCTGAACTTCAACACCCAGGGAGGCAGGAAGGAGGTGGTGGCTGCTGCCGCTCCTGGCCAAGCCCTTAAGTGAAGAAATCCTTAGGACTTCCAGTAATTGCTGTCCAGCCACACGCAGGAGGCTTGTGCAATCCGGTGGGGGGCAGGGGGGAAGGCTCACCCAGAGCTCTGAGGATGGCAGCTGGAAAAGCAGGCCTACTCTGCCTTAGGTTGGCCTGAACGTCTGCCCAGTTCTTCTGCCTGGTCCCTCTGACAAGTGCCTCTGCCTCGCCCCTGCTGCCATGACCCCACTCCCACTGCAGACCTTCCCAAGTCCCTCCACCCTGCTGCAGGCCAGGCCCAGCCAGGACAACCCCACCAGAAACACACCCCCAAGAAATATACAGATACCTCCTGATGGCTCTTGGCCCATTTTTCTAAAGGTTTTGGGACAGGAGGTCAGGATCCAAGCCTGGCCCTGCCTTCTGAGTGGATTAGGTGCAGTTAAGTTCCTCTCAGCCTCAGTTTGCTTATCTGGAAGATGGATTGTTTAGGAAGAACCAGAGACCCTCTACAGGCCAGAGGCCACAAACAATGACCGCTTCCTCAGCTGAGGCTCCAGGAAGCTGCTATTGCTGGGCTGCCCCAAAGGTGTCCACCCAACACCTGGGACAGGATATCCCCTCTCAGGAGAGATGAGCAGACCCATACTTGCCCAGTGGACAGTCATCCTGGGCTGCCCTGGCAGTGGGGCTGTGGCCACTCCTGCCCAGGCTCACCACCCCTCCTACAGTCCCTCAGCTCCCCTTCTTGCCACAGGTTCCACTGCACAGCTGACCTTCTTGTACTGACAGGCACCTCTTGCTGGAGGTCAGAGTTCTGGAAGGTTCATAGGCAAGGCCCCTGTGGACTGTCACTGGGATATACTCTGCCCAAGGACCCCCACTGGCAGAGGGCAGGCCCCAAGCTCACCCATAGCCACATCCCTTAGGCCAGCTCCTTCCTCCCTGCAGCCTATACCACTCCCCTACCTGTGGACCCCATTCCAAGCAGCAGCCCAAGGAGGCACAGGCACCTTATTTTCAGGGTCAGGGGACAGGGCTGTTCCAAACAAAGAACATTCAAGGAGGGTTTTGGACATATTGGGGGGGTAAAATGGCCCCCTTGAAGATCAGACCTATAGTCTCCACATGGTCCAGCAGTCTCAGTCCCAAGTGTATACCCAGAACTGTCCACATGGAGACCTAGATACGAGTGTGCACAATTCATAGCACCAAAGGTTCAGAGAGTCCACACGCCCACGGAAGGACAACTGGACACATACAGGGTGGCCTATCCACATAGAGGCATATTACTCAGCCATGAAAAAGGAGGCTCTGACACAGGCTACAATGTGGATAGACCTTGAGGACATCACACTCAGTGAGAGAAGTCAGACACAGAAGGACACACAGTGTGAGATTCTGTTTATATAAAATGTCCAAAACAGGCAGATCAGGTGGCACTGGTAGCTAAGTGGGCAAGGCACTGGCCACATACACCAAGGCAGGCAGGTTTGAACCTGGCCCAGGCCTGCTAAACAACAATGACAACTGCAACAACAAAAGAAATAGCCAGATGTTGTGGCAGGCACTTGTAGTCCCAGCTACTTGGGAGGCTGAGGCAAGAGAATTGCTTAAGCCCAAGATTTAGAGGTTGCTGTGAGCTGTGACTCCACAGCACTCTACCGAGGGTGACAAAGTAAGACTCTTGTCTTGGCCTCCCTCTGTGCCGCAGGCTATTTTTCACAACTTCTACTATTCCACAGCCTCTCCCCTGCCTGGCCAGCCCAGCTCTGGCCACATGCCCCAACCCTACTCCTGGCCCTAAGGACTTGTGTCCTCTGGACCCCTCTCCCTATCCACTCAGCGCCTCTTCTCACAGCAGCCTGTGACTATGCCTGTCCCCAGGTATGCAGCTGCCTCCAGAATCTCAGAAAAAATCCCAGCAGGTCCCCTGGTGGGTACAGGACACAAAGGGTTCTGCCACACAGCCTTGGTGACAGAGACCCTGCCATAGCCAGAGCCTTTGGCTAGCTAAACAAGCAGGTAGGAACCTGGAGCAGTGTCTGGTCGACCTGAAGTTTATTTTTAGGTGGGTGTCTCATGGCAGGAGTAGTCTGTGGTAGGTCACTCAGCTCCAATTTATGGGAGGGCCTATGCCTATCCCTATAGCTCACCACTAGGAAAAGGGAGGTAGTTTCCTCCTCAAATCAAGTTTTCAGGTAAGTCATTGTAAAACAGAAACACTAAGGAATCAGGGGCCCAGGATTAGGAGGAAATATCAGAAAAGTCCAAGAGCTAGGAGAATCCAACTAGGAGGACATCCCGTGGCAGACAGGTAACTGCAGCGACCCCCTGCCCCCTCTCTCCTGGCCCCACTGGGGTCCTTATCTCCCTGACTGGACCTCAGTATGGGGCTAGACACTCCAGACCAGGCCCTAGGTCCCACCCCGCACACACAATGTCCTCCTGGATATTCAGGACCAGTCACCACCCAGACCCACTGACCAGTGTTGCCTGGAACCCCTGCCTATTTCACTGTTAGGTATACGCTGTGTTGTTGTGTTGATGGGGAGGGAGGCTCTCATCCCTCAAGGATCTGCCACATGAGACACTCCACATCCTCAAGACCTGAGCCAGGGTCCTTCTATGGACAGGGAGGCTGTGGCCACTGGCCATGTGTCTCCACATTTCACATTGTCCCCTTATCAAGCACAATTTGACACCAAGCTTTCTGATGAGGACACAGAGGCCTCTTGATGGAATCGTGATGACCCCCACAGCTTGAGTCACTCCAAGCCCATTTTCTTTGTCCTTTTCTTTAAGATAGGGTCCCACTCTATTACTGGAGTAAGAGTACAGTGGCATCATCATAGCTCACTACAGCCTCTAAGTTTGCTCAAGGGATCCTCCCACCTCAGCTTCCCAAAGTGCTGGGACTGGCCAGGTGAGGTGGCTCACACCTGTAATCCTAGAAGTTTGGGAGGCTGAGGCAGGTGGATTGTCTGAGTTCACGAGTTTAAGACCAGCCTAATCAAAAAAAGATCCCATCTCAACTCAAAAAATCAGCATTGTGGCGGGTGCCTATAATGCCTAAGGAGGCTGAGACAAGAGGATCACCTGAGCTCAAAAGTTTGAGATTGCCATGAGCTCAACCGGAGGGCAAAAGAGCGAGACTTTGTCTCAAAAAAAAAAAAAATATATATATATCAAAGTGCTGGACTATAGAAGCCACTGCCATGCCTGGCTCCCATGACCATTTTCAAGATGGCAAAGTAGAGGCTCAGAGACAATCAGGCTCAGGTAGCTTGGACTCAAACTGCAGCAAGGAGGCCTCGTGCCTAACACATTTGCATGTGCTCTACTCAGATCCCTGCGCTCGGGTCTGCCTCGAGCTTGTCCCTGGTGGAGAGTATCTCAAGGCTTACCCGGCAAATGTAAAAACCAAGGCCAAGGGAAGAGGCAATGCACCTCTGGGCCAGCAGTTGCAGCCAGTGATATACTTGTGCAGAAACCAATACCCAGTTCCCACAGACACTCAGAACTCGATCCTGAGCTACTTCATCCGAGTCCTCACTGGGAGCAGGAAGGGCTCCCTGCTTCCTGGGAGCCATTGCCCGTAAGAACAGCCCAAGCATCCTGGGGGGCCCAATGGAATCACAGTGGCCAGGGAGCTCATCAGGAGACGAGGATGCACTGTGCACAGCCTTGGGTGACTCACCTGCCACCATGACCGTGACCTGCTGGCCCTGCATAAAGCTCAGTCACCCTCCACTAGACTTGTGGGTTTCAGCAACCACCTAGGAGGGAGTAGCCCAGGATCCCAGGACCAGGCATAGTGGGAGGGGTCAGCAGATTTCACAACCGCTCCGATGTGGGGCAGAGAGCCCTAAGGAATCTAGACACTTGGCGGGGTCCCAGCTTGGCTGGCAGGGACTATCTGGTGGAAGAGGCATGTCATGGTACTTCCACAGAGCCTGGACTGGGGGCCTCCTAAATAGCCAGGGGCTTTGGGAGTCCTCAGGATTCAGAGCCAACAGCAGACTAAGTCCCTAGCTGGAGACTGGCCCAGGGAGGGACACAAGGCAGGATGTCAGCAAGTGGCTCCTCTTCTCCTAGGCTGAGGTGCTTTGTCCTACACAGGAATGGGCAGGGAGAAGCGAAGTCAGGAACAGAGGGGAGGTGGGCAAGGGCATGGGCCCTCACAGAATGTAGTGCCCAACAGACACAAATGCCCTCAGTTCTCCCTACATTCTCCCAAGCTTACACTCATTCCACCCAATATTCCACCTGAGGGGCCTCACCGAGCCTCTTGTTGTGGGTGCCAACTGGTGCCCATCTGTCTCCCAGCAGGGAAGATAGGAAAGAGGCTTGTCCTGGCCTGGCCAAGCAGCTACTCATTTGTGTTACTGCA